TTTAGTTTCATCTAGATCAAGAATGGCCTTGACTAGTGTCTCTACATCAAATGTACCTCCTGTAAACAATAATAATATCCTAAAATCTATACACACATATTTATATAATCTAATGAGTGCTGCATGCTCTGGGCTTTTTTTTTTTTCCATTAACCTTGTATTTCATAGTGTTTGCATTATTTGTACAGATAAGTCTATACAGTAAAACTTGGTTATATATCAAAATGCCAAGGACAAACATTTTTGATTCATTATTAACATAATTCCCTATATCCAATAAGTTCTTCAAAAATTTTAAAACTACAATGAATAAAAACTACTTTGCTTTGCCATACAAATTCATCTTGCATTAATCCGAGATTCCTCTGACTCTAACCCCTGCTTTTATATTTTGACATGTGCACATGTCAAAATATAAAAGCAGGGGTTAGAGTCAGAGGAATCTCGGATTATCTTGTATGTGTATGCATACAATTTGTAGATTAACTTGCAAAAAATAAAAATGATTCAAGCTTCTCTGATTATTTCATTACCCATAAGAAAAAAGTACAGTCAAACCTCGTTATCTCAAACTCAATGGGACCGAGAAAAAACTTCAAGATATCCGAGGATTCGAGATATCAGGGTAAAATAAATAAGTGGTTAGGACGTCTAAATCACTTGGACATATCCATGGTATTCGAGATATCAGTGTTTGAGATAACAAAATTCAACTGTACTTATAAGATTTAATCTTTACAAATTCATGCTAGATTCCTCCGTTACATTTAATTCACCAAATTTAGGCATGAAAGATTACATACCACATTTTTTAGCTGCTTTGGAGATGCTTTCTGGTGAAAATCCAATCTGTCTGGCCATTTCTTTTGGAGATGATGAATCCTGGACAGCTACCTGGGCCTCTGTATGAAGAAATGCAACACAATAAATACTTACTCTAATGTCACACACACAGTCAAGTATTATGGATTTCATTTTATATGGAAAATTTATGGTTTGTTTTGTTCCTTACATTTGCAATGTAAGGTATCAAGTCTGTGAAAACTTTTTGATACAGTTTCTCAAGAATATTATAAATACAAAATCAACTTACTACATGTATGGTCTTTTGATTTTTCTTTGCTTGCTTTTTCCTGGAATATGTGAGGATATCTTTTTTTAATTTTACTACTGAGGAATAACGAGGTAGGATTGTGAATTAAGAAAAAATTCTAAAATATCTTGTTATTCATTAATTTACAGGAATGTACAAACACTTCTTGTCACTAGGGCTGACACTGATGGGTATGAGATCAGACTGCATCATAGATTTTGAATGCTATGGCACTTTTTGTCATCTGATATACATATACTGATATATACACAGTGGTAAATTTATTGCAACAGCCCTATAGATATTACCATGATACTTTAAAAGTGGAAATTTTAACTTGTTTATCCCTCATATCTTTGTCAATTAATAAATATTTTAAAATTCATGATAGTAAATCAAGTATACCATTAATAAATTCACTTTTACATCTATATGCAGGCTAAAATACACTTGAGTCACTTTATCATGTCAGACCATGCAAGAAAATTTCACCTAGTTGACCCAGTCTCTCCCATTTTTTTTTTTAAACACAGGAGACATCATCAAGATCTTCAAATTTTGCTTTCATTTTAAAATTTTTATTTGAAATCTTTTCACACAAATAATAAATGTTAATCTGATGAACTTGATACACTTACAGCATTAACAAAGAATGGTTCTGTCTTGATAACTTCTAGCCACTGACAGTGTTTGAACCACTTCTTGTGCTCCAGCACAGGTACATCCCCTGGTTCCCAGTCCGCCAGGATTCCATTACACCAGAAGCACTTAGTCTGGTCCCCTTTCCCTTCAAATAATAACATACTATAATTATATGTTGTATATAACACTGTGATAATTATACATATATTTTCTTTTATCATTAAAATAACTTCATATAAAAATTCTATTGTATAAATGGTATTTAAAATCATCAATCTACTGTAAATGTTCTCTTTTTTCAACAGGGTCATAATTCTGGGTATAATCACAATTTCTGTTCAATCCGCAGGTAGAAAATAACGTGGATTTGTTTGTCTTAAAGGAACTTTAAGTACGCAGTAACAAATTTCCGTGGAAAATTTGTGACCATGTACTAGGTAAATCAATCTTGCGCAGAAAAATATATGTCTGCAGTAAATTATTTCTTTGATCCACTCCTCTTTCTAATTTATTACACACAAGTACACACACAATCTGTAAATTTTACACTTTAATCTGTATAATTTACACTTTTATCTGTTGAATTCACATATATATATACAAGGAAGCAGATCAAAGATCTGCAAATTGGGCATATTTTTGTGGCAGGCAGGCTGGATGGAGGAAACACATGCAAGCTGTTTACTGCTGATAAGTTCACCATAATGATTGCATAAGGAAGCCAGTAATTGAAATATGTACCTGGAAGCTGCTACTTTTTGCATCATATAAATTACTTAAGTTTTGTAAATTGTACCTTTTTCATTTATTGATAAGCACTTGAAACATTAAATGTTTGACCAACCTAAATGTGCTACTAGGAATATTTTTTTGGACAGAGTGTTTGCAAATTACATTTACTTGTCTTAGGGGAAACCTAAGCACAGTTATTCCTTGCTTGATCTTTTTAGATAAAAAAGAACTTTATTTACTTTATGTTGACATGACAAGATAATCCATAATGTCTGTAAATGCACCAGATATTTTATTGTTAAAGTTTATCTAAATAAATATTGGATATCAAGATATGTAAGTAGACATTTTTTTAAAAAAAAAAAAAGGCTTTGTCAATCAATCATGAATAATCTGCTTTGACATGTTTGATGTTCAATTTCAATGCAAAATAAACACACTAAGTCTACATATAAAACTTTACCAAGATAAAACATCCCAGCCTGTGCTAAATCTTCTTTCTTCTGTGAAAACTGTGCAGGCCAATCACTGAAAGACTCCAAACGACTAGAAAAGTCTCGGAACTCTGGAAACTTGTAAGGTGATATGATAAAGGGACATTTGGGAAAGTGTTTTCTGTGTTCCAACAAAATGTCGTCATTTGGTTCCCAATCACTGAGGTAGCCACGACAATATGTACATCTCACACGGTCCCCGAGTCCTACACAATAAAATCCTTGTCTTACAAACTCTTCTTTTCTAAGGTAGTCTTTGGAGGCTGGCCAATGATCATAAAATGTCTGAAGCCGACGATCTGAGTCGTGACGAAGCTTTAAAAATTCCTCCTCTGTTATCTGCACTGACATGGCAAATCTATATTTAAAAAAAAAAGCTACAATGTACATATGCTAAACAATTCTTCAGTAAAAGCTAGTTTCCATTTTACAACATTTAATTTGACATATGATACAAACTAGGGTAACTTTTTTTAAAATATGTTTAATGCTACTGATCTTTTGAGATGCAGCATTTAATGTCAGATAAATTCAAAACTCATTAGACATGACAGATTACAGGAATAAGTTTTTTTTTATTTAATTTTTTTTTTAATATGAGGTTTAAACCAAACTGAGAGCAAATATTAATTTGCATGCATAAGACTTATAAATCAGTTATTACTAAGTCTTGTCTCTCTCTATATAAGTAGATTAATTATTTTTCTCATGAACAATAAAAATTATAAAAAATGATAAAAATGCAAAAACTTCACAGTCTCTATTGCTCAATCCCTGGATCAAACTTGCAATTTGTTGATTACAAGTACACATTTACATACTTGTACCACAGGAGTTCGCATACCTATCAATTTTACCGAAATTTTCAGGAAATATAAAAAATACGTAATACCTATAATAATAACACTATTATTATAGGTATTAATTACGTATTTTTTATATTTACTGAAAATTTCGGTAAAATTGATAGGTATGCGAACTCCTGTGCTTGTACATAATTTACATATGTATATCTTCTTCTCATCGTCACTTAGATACGTTTTAAAATTAGCCGTGATGACTTAGATTATGACAATCAAATGTAGAGACAAAGAGCTTGAAATAAATAGTTAAAGGTTTCATGAGAAAGAGATTGTTGCAATGAATATACATAAATAATGATTACCATGGATAATACTGGTATAGTTATCCATGGCAAAACATTGGCATATTATGTGAATAAACATATAAATGTATTTGTATACACACAGACTTACCTATAGCAGGGAGCCAGGGACCTATATTGTCCAGGGACCTATATATATATATATATATATAGGTCCCTGGTCTATATAGGTCCCTGCCTATAGATTATGATAATGTCATGTTCTTATCTTGATACTAGGGTACACACAGAATGAAAACATTCAACAGGGCATTCAATATGAAGAATTAGCAGATAAATCTAATACAAAGTGTTAATCATGTTTAAAATAGACATTTAAATGTGACCCCAAAACTGCTTAAATTAGCCCATCATCACACTCTTAAACTGCTACTACATAATAAGAGTTTCAACATAACTTTGAAATTTAGAGTAATGCAATATCCAGTATTATCCCCCTTCGTTGTGCAGACGACTGTGCAAGCTGCACAACATGCAGCGGAGCATTAATTGCACACGCACTTACAAACACTACCACAGCTACTTTGGTTTTGGCTAATGCATGTATATAATTTATACATATTAATTTACCAATACCCACAAAAAAAATTCTTCTCTGTTGACCTTGATTACAAGTATATTCTCCTAGCAAACCGTCTTCATTTTTTGCACGCAGAAATTGAACATGTTTCATGTGTGCACGAAGTGCACGATCTGCATACCGCTAACACTGTATCATTCACAATATATAAAATATGCCATAAAAAATTGAGTGTGCTTAAATGATACTCACATCTATGAAACCTCCAAAACACTTCACAGTTTTTGGAAACAAAAGGGTATTTACCGATTTTTTAATCATTGATTAAAATGAAACAGAAAGTTGCCAGGAAAAACATAATGATTTGATAACTCATACATAATTTATTCGATATGCATATTTTTTGGCTTGTTATGAGATCCATTTTTCTTTTATCCTTATAGGAGATTTTTTTTTCTCTCTGTTGCCTGCATTAAGAAACATTTTATATTTTTCAGGTCATGCTTATTAATTACATCACTTATAAAGAGATGTAAGAAAAATGAAAGTTCGAGTTACTGAATAATTCAAGCGCGGGAACTCGGTCTTCGACAGGTGGTGGGAAAATGTTACCAAATAATTTGTCACACATCTCCTCTTTGCAACGAAACCCAACTTGTCCGAAGTGCAATGGGTTCTATGTTACGAAAGGTAAATTTATTGTGATATCAATGCAATACTTCTGTCTGGAAACACGGCATGCATTATCCCTTAAACCGTCCACGTTGCGGAAAATAGCATGCAAAAGAATGCATCAGTGACCCAGTATTTAGATCTGAAGTGTTGTAGTATAAGCCATCTTTTAAAAGATGAATGTTTTAAATTTGTTTTTTATATTGTAATTATATTAAATAATGCCTGATCTAGTAACAAGGGACAGGTATAGGTAACTCCAATCACAGGTTCCGCAATTTTATCTGTAAAATGAAAATAAATGAGAAATGGGCATAAATCCAGCGATTTTTTTCTACCCATTGGGAATGGGTCTGGTACCAGTTCGATTGGGAAAAATAGCATCAAAGTAGAAAAAATGAGAATTTTCTGTCATTTAAACATTTTGCATTCATTCATGTTATTCCAACTTCATTACCCAATACTCCATGTTTCAAAGAATAAACAACAAGTATTTATTGTTTTTCATATCAGTGTTCCTTGTTTTCGCATTTTCATGCTTTCAATTTGTCAAAATGTATGACACTACACTGTTCACAACACAGGTCCAGCCATATTACGACTAATCTCTACTTTCAATTTCAGAGGAAGTGAAAATATTAGTAAACTTTTTCAATGATTCAAATAAAAAGAAATACAATGTCATCGTAGTCTGTTGCTTGGCAGTTGAATTCGGAAATTTTAGTCTCAAAATTGGGAAAAATTAATGTTTTTTGGCATTGGAAATGGTACCGTTTATATCCGTACCAGTTACATAAGGAAAAAAAAACGCTGTAATCCTACCAGTGAGCTTCAACAGATGTGGCAGAGGCTATATGAACTGATTTATTGATTTAGATATGTATATTTAAGCTTTTCTATAATCTCTGTGTTTCGATCAGATCACATTCAACTTAGAGTGCTGTCTCAATGTAAAGTTGTCGATCGATCAAGTGATACATTTTGTGTATCCTTGTCAGTTTCACTAATATGTCATGCTGCATATTATGTGAATCTGTTTTATTTTGCTTAAAGAACACAATCGCCAACACAGAAATCCTCTTATTTTGGACTGTGGTCACACTTTTTGTGAGGGATGTCTGACAAAGATGGCCAGAGAGACAAAGACCTCCATACCATGCCCAACATGCAAGGTTAGTTTCAGGAAAAACTGGTGATTAACTTGGTCAGTGTATCACTCCCATATAGGCATTATTGAATATTGAATTTTAGGTATGCATTGAGGGTCTGTTAAATTTCACAAGAATTTGTACAGATCAATGCACACAACACAATCATCTGTATTGTAAGCTAGCTACATGCAGTCAAACCTCTTAATCTTGAACTTAGTTTTGGCTGAGAAAAAAAAACAAACAAGATAGTCAAGGATTCAAGATATTTAAACTAAAAATAAATAGAGAAAGTGGTTGAGACTTTATTTCCATGGTATTTAATAAATACATGTTTTATAGACTATTAAGTTTAACGTTATATTGATGTTTTATATGTTTCAGGCAGTGACACCATTACCACAAGGAGAGGCCAGCGTGAAGAATCTATGGCCAGATGTCTATGTAACAGGATGGATGTTGTGTCAACAGAGGGCGCTACTCAATCAGTAAGTCTCAATCTCTATTGATATTAATATTTTGTATTTGAATTTGTTGTGAAAAAATAAGCCACCCTTGTTATAGTAAATAGTAATTGCATACAATACATATGATTTAGTTTATTAGTCTTAAACTTCCTGTAGTCATATACACTATTACTTTGGCCCAGTACGAAAAATTGAGAGGCTTTCTCACTGTTGACAAGCTGAACTTTTCTAGAAAACATTGAAACGTAATAAAAGCCTCAATATGATAAATGGCCAGGTTGAAGGTAAATTTTTCTTGTTTTACCCTGTATGGTTTTTTTTCTTCAGAGAACTGGAGAAATTATCCCCAGCAGGAATAGTTCAGAACCCTGGGTTCAGAAGTGCTTCAGACAAAGGAGGTATTTCATTATATCAGGCTTAACTTAAATTTGGTTTTCCCTGTTTTAAATGCAGTTTTGTAAGATGTATCACGAGTTCAAACTTCATTAGTATTGTATATTCTTAGCAGCTTTAGAAATAATGCTTTTTAGCTGGAAAAAAATTAATATTAACAAAATAATAAGATTAACTTTTGACAGAATCTATTCTTGATGATGTTTCATATTTTAAACAAATAATTTAAAGCTAGACACATTTTTGCAGAGAGGGAAAAAATGTGCCGAGAGTGTTTTCGCAGATTAGCAATGTGTCGATGTGACAAGTGTGATGTAATAATGTGCCATGGTTGCTTTGAAAAGGTACATGTAATGAAAATTAAAAAAATGCTCATTGTGCATGTACACCTAGATGTTATATTGATCCCCATTGGAGAAAAAAAATTAAGAATCTTATTCTGCATCCAATTTAATGTTCCAGAAAATGGACATTGGTTTTAATATTAACAATTTTGATGTATACAATTTACATGTAGAAAGGAGAATTTTTATGTTAATCTCTTGTAGGTCCATTCAAAGTCCAATACTTTAAAACAACATCAAGCACTGCCCATAGAAAGTGAGGACAGGTACTGTATAAGTTCTGGGGTATACTTTTAAGCTCTGTAAAATATTCCATATCAAGTTTGACCCAAATTATTTAGGATGTTTAGATTTTTTGTAAATGATTTAATGTATTATTTTCACTCTAACTTCAAAAAGGTATTTGCATAAATTCTTCAGTAATATATGTTTATGTATATACATGTACCAACAGGGCTTGTACACTTTAATGTATTTATAATGAAATACATATTGTATTTGCAGTTTAAAAGGGGAGTTAACTCAGGATTGTCCACTGCATGAAGGGAGAGAACTCGAATACTATTGTGAAGATGACAAAATGCCAATCTGCTCCAAGTGTGTGATATTTGGGAACCACAAGGGTCATGTCATTACATCTATGGAAGAAAAGGTACTCCTGTGTCTGGTTGGTTCAAATGAAGAGAAAGCAAATTCAAAAACTTTTTCTTTAAGGCTTTCTGTAAGTCCTGCATAAAAAATTAAAGTTATGTATTGTTTGAGGAAGTCAGTCAATGTCTTCATGTTTTCAGAACAAAACTGTTTTCTCTGAAATGGAGCCAGCTTTGCATCTTGCCAACAAAGTTGTCAGAAAATTGATTAAAGTTGACAAGGTAATTTTATTAGCAAGTACAAAAGCCTATGCAAATAGATTTTCAATAAGTATTTGGTTAAACCTTTTTTATGTAGCTTACTTTAAGTAGCCATTCATATTTCGTATCACCCTTCAAAATTCCCCCTTCTTTATATTTGGTATGGGTACCGAGATCAAACTGGAAGAGATTAAAGTCAAATACCAGTACATGTACATGTTATATACAAAGGCATGAAAACATTCTGTCTTATTTGTTGTTCTTACAGACAATGACAGATTTCTTCCCTGATGCTAAAGTGGAGACAGCTGCTGTGATATTTGAGATCAGGGAACACTTCCAAGAGTTACATGGACTTCTCCAAGCCAGGTATGAAAGGTGTTATATATTATTTATCTTATTAGAGTCAAAGATTGATGTTTTCTTATTATGATTAATCAAATATGCTAAATTTGAGATTAATTTGTTTTGAAAATTTTAAATGAAAATGGAAAAGTACAAGTATCTGCAATTTGATAATTTTTCTCGTGTCCTTCAAAGAATTACGTGTACATACACTGTACATGTATTTCAGAGAAAAACAGCTGATAGATGAAGTGTTTGCTGCATACAAAGAAGGAGTAGAACCTCTGGAAAATCTGGTATAAGTAATATTATCACAGAACTGTTAAAAATGGAATCTTAAATTGCTGCTTGACATATATAATCTAGTCGGATGTGTTATGGAAAATACATGTCATCTGGTTTGGTTGCTTGAATTGGTGTAAGGAAATAAACTTTGCAGTCAGTAGTATTGTATGTTATGCTTGAGAAAGAACAAAATTGTTGTCAATTAGTCTGTACCAAGAATTTGAAAATATAAAAATTTTAACAGCTGATATTAAAGGAAAAAAATAAATGTTTGTATTATGATTTATTATCAACAGAGACACCAAATGCAGGATGAGAGAATGAAACTAGAGGTTGCAATTAGAGGTTTGGAATTTGAATTTAAGTCACATGCATAAATATTTGCCAAATGATGAGACTTTCAAGTGCTATGATAAGAAAGCGTTGCAATGGAATACTATTGAAAAACAACAAGCATCATCAATTTCAATGTTGTCTTAGAGATCAAATTAAGATGTCTTTTTCAGTGTCATTACATGTACATTTCCAAGGATGTTTGTAATTGATTTCTTTATGTTCCAGCTGCTCAGCGAGTGTTGAACAATAATAATGAAGTAACCTTGAATGCCAAACAGATTCTGGATCGATTAAATCAGGCCAAAGAGATTCCCTGTATCATTCTACCCAAGGAAACGGAGACAACTGAAAAAATCAGGTGTGAATTTGGGTTATGGCTAGTTGCAATTTAATATGTTAAGCAATGTCCATAGTGTATGAATATAAAACCCATGTACATACCTGTATCTTAAAAAATGTTTTTTAAACACACAATTTTCAGAGTCTGGAAATTTAGAGAAGTATGCACACAAT